CTGTATATATACTCACGTTAAAGCAAACCCTTCTCTATTTCCTCCATCACCTACTGTCATGTGCACTGGACCACATTGGTCCCCCTTATCTGAAAAAACCCAGAATTAATTTAATGGTGAAGGCATGCAACAGGTTGGTTCAGCCGGGCTTAAATGAATCAGGATTTTCGAACCATTCACGACCTGGCTGCTCAGACTGTTCGGCCCGAGAACCATTCAGGCATTTGGTTTCATTTTACCCTTAACCTGGTTCTTGGCCAAAACCCTTGATTTGGTCAGTGATCCGCTGACTCAGGCTGTTGACCCATCAACCCCTTTTGACCTGGTCAACAGTTTTGGTCATTTTTTGTTTTTTAACTATTTTATTTTTAAGTGTCATTCATTCGTTCGAATCAAACAGTCGAATCATCAACCCAAAAATCAGTGGCCAGAACAGTTTCGGTCCCGGGTCTGTTTTTAAAACCTTGCCAATAATGAATGACTTACAAAGCGTTCGTAGGCATGAACGTGGCCAGCAAAAACAATGTCAACTCGGGCCTGATACAGCAAACCCTCCATGGCTTTCCTCATGCTCTCTCCTTCCCCTTGATGGGCAGAATCGGTGTTGTACCACGGTGCGTGAAGGAGGGCCACAATCCATGGGGTCCTGGCCCGGTCGACCTTGGCCAGGTCAGCGTGGAGCCACTTGTACTGGGCCGAGCCAGCATCGAAGTCAGTGTAGGACCCCAGCATGACGACATGGACCCCGGCTACACTGAACGAGTAGTATAGATTGGACCGGGATCCGCTCTCCTCGAAGGGCATCCTCCACCTTGCATTGTAGGCGGTGAAGGCCAGGGGCTGGACAATAGGGACAACTTCGATCTCATGGTTGCCCTCTGTGATCATCCATGGACGACTGCTCGCATATGGCTCCACAAGGCATCCGAAGGTGTCTCAGAGTCTGTTGGCCGTCTGCATAAGAAAGATCTCCTGGGAGCAGAAGGACGTCGTAGTTGCTATTGTTAATGTGCTTCAGGGTCGATGCCGTCCATTCAGTTTGTCCCAAATCTCCTACGTAATATCAAGCAATTTCTATTACGCAATATCAATCAGCTGAGATTCAGCTCTGCTAGTGTGAAAATGATAAGTCCATCCAAAGAAGAGGAAGGAGGAGATAGTGTGTAAGGGGATGCTTGCAATGAGACAATGGTGAATGGTATATAAACCTGCAACTGCAAATTCAATGGGGAACGTCGATGGGGGTGTCTTGAACGAGAACTCCTGGCCGGTTCCACCACAGCGGTAGTAGTAGTATGTGTTGGGATCCAGGGGTCCAATGGTAACGTGATGGATCTTTCCAGAGATGTAAAACAAGTAATGATAGGACGTGTGTTCGCCGGTGGCCAATGCTTCATATTTTCCCGGCGTTTTACCGTATTCGACGATTGAAGGGGCGTGTCTCTCGGCCGTCATCCACGAAATTCTCATATGATCTCTTCCAACCAACGAGATATGAACCTGAAATGTTGACAATGAAGCAGAAAAATAGATGGGTACGTTAGTGGGTATGCATTAAAAGGTTTGTAAATTAACAATTGGGTCTGCACCGAAAATCTGAAATCTGCATGTTCTAAAATGAATCAAGTGGAGAAATAGATTACTGGGTCTTGTAAAGAATCGAACAGACAGAGAGAAAGAGGGAGACCTGTTGCGGTTCGGAACCAGAGCGGTTATGTGGAGTAAATATAATACCCCGAGGAGGAGGTCGGATAAATTCCGGCGATGGCAGCAGTAATTGTACGAATTGCAGGAGGACGAAGATGGCTATTAGCAAGGAAAGCACATTAGACGCCCATGTTTTCTCCATTTCTCTCTCTGTGTTGAGCACTGGCCGATCGAGGAGGGGCGCCATTTGAAGAATTGAACGAAGAATAAGTAGTAGATGCTGCTTAAAACTTCAAATTAAAGAAACGTTTATTAAGAAGGATTCAAACTTGGGAGAGCAAATAAGAATACATTCACAGAATTCCATGGCGTTAAGGAAGTATTTTGGTATACTCAAGTAACTCAGCTTTCAGCATCTCACTGCATATTACATTGAAGTCACATTTGATCATTTAATTATGGGTTGAGTCGATAACAAATATGAAGGAAACCGGGTGTTACCAGATCAACCAGCAAGATTGTATATTTATTATTATTGTTTGTTTTATCTGTTTCACGACTACTTGTAAACAAGGTTGAAGTAGAACAGACGTTTCATTGGAGAATATCCTTCTAATCTGGGGGGTTAGAATGTGTATAAAAAAGCACATTCCAATTGTACATTTGAGAACATAGTTAGCAAAATTGCTTATAAGTTTTAATGATCAAATGATTTTATAAAAATTGATGTTTTTTAATATGTTTGAGCATAGAATTTTTTTAAACGTATTTATTTTTATATCTATATATTTAATATATTAAACACATTTATATGAAAAACATACCAACTTTTTTACTAACTTTTTTTTTTTTAAAATAGGAATAATGCATTACAAATAAATTTGTATTTGGCTGCTTTCTTGCCATATTCTTTGTGCAAATTATTTTCACTTGCATGGGTGTAAAAGTATGGGAGTGCTACTAGGCTAAGGTGTAAATTCTGGTTTACTTTTGCTTCAGATTTTACTTTGTCTTATTTGTTTGTGAGAAGTAAAATGAGTGATGGAGGAAGCAAGATGTGTGAATACCCAATTCCCCATTTTAATTTATAAGAGAGAGAATTGAGATGCAAAATTTGTACTACAAATAAATGCAAATGAAACAAAAAGTATAAATTTTGTAGAAAACATAATTACAAACAAACGGATGCAAAACTGAGCTTTTTGCATCCGGTTCAGCTTTCTACTACTGAAAACAAAAAGAGCATAAATTGTAAATTAATGAGCATTTTCCCTGCTGCTTTCACATTTAATAACTGATTAAGTGTATATCTTGACAATAAACACTGACGTGGGATATAAAATGTTGCAGGAATGATCTCTAAGGCTTGAGTGTGACAACATTTGTTTTTGTTGTTGTTGTTGTAGAAGCTGTTAGTTTTGATCTGATGGATTCTATCTATCTTTGGAATACAAATTAAACATGTTATACATCCTAATTAGGCTTATGTTATCTGATGATAGAATTGTACAAGAAGGTATATGGAGGGAATCGAATTGTTAAAAGGTCATCTTACTGATGTTCCTTCATATTATTCGTTCAGCCATGCTACAAATAAAAGTATCACTTGAACAGTTAATAAATAATAGATGGAAAAAAGAGATTAAACACTAATGCTGTGTTTAATTTATCAGAAAACAAGAGAAAGAAAAAGTTGAGGGAGAGATCTCAACTTTCTGTTTCTCTTGTTTTCTGATAAACCAAACAGACTTATTAGAAGGTAATTAAAAACAAATATATAGAGAGAGAGAGAGGTCTTCCAATTGAAACGTACGTGTGGAGGAATGACCGAAAGCTCAAATATTGCACTCAATATGCGAAACCTTATCTATATGGTTTCACTGTACTTTCTACTCTTTTTTTTTTCCTTTTTTCTTTTAATTTTTTGCTAAATTCTTCCACTCTATGAAGGACCAAATCACCTCTTATGATGAAGTTGTGTAGTTGTGTTGTTATAATATTGACACACCAACATACATGTATTTTAAAGAAGGAGAAGTAGATATGCTTTGTTTTATACAAGGTTAATTGTCATAAACTAATTAGACTCATAAAATTAAACCGATCGAGCAGCAATCTTCTAAGTAAAAATTACTGAAACAATACAATTAACTCTAAATTAATACAACCCATTTGGTGAAGGAATCTGAATTTAACCATGCATAAATTATGGCACCCTTAAGATTACTTGTTTTAGTAATTATTCCCTTGTCTTCAAGGACTTGGTTTGAATGATGAAAGAAAGTATCACGATGAAATGAGAGTATTTCACAAGTATCATGATGTAGGGAGACCAGTCTGTGGGTTGGATGGCAAACCATTATGGTAGAAATTCAAAGGAAAAATATTTCTATTGATATTCAATATCTTGTAATAGCCTTAACCTACATAATCTCTAAGGACTCATAGGGCAAGATTACTTCCAAGTTCCAACAATTAGTGTAGTCTTTTGGCTTCTTCTACCAAAAAAAGAGGGACTTTATACTATTGGATGGACTTACACTTGAATCTTGAAAGTGTGACAATCAAGAAGAAATCTAATTTTATCCAATCCAATGATGGGAAATTTCTGTGGAAATTCATCCCCAAAGACTATATTATATATATACATATATAGATAGATAGATAGAGAGAGAGAGACTTTGAGGACTTGTAGCGCAAGATTACTACCAATAATTAAGTGTAGTCTTATTCCTTTTACCAAAAGAAGGAACTTAGTTGCAATGCTTAACTTTACTTTTTTATTAACTATAACTCATCCATTGTCATAGATAGGGACGTTTAATTCTTGAAAGTGAGAAGTGAGACAACGAAGCAATATCTCAGTTTTGTCCAATCCGTGGAAATTCATCCCAGAGGGTATATAGATCCTAAGGCTGTGTTTGGTTGCAGTAGTGCAAATTTATTTGCACTAGTATAAATGCATGCAAGTGCAAATGTAAAAAAATGTAAATTCTTGTTTAATTTTGTTTTGGATTTTACTTTATCTTGCTTCATGTCTTAATTTACTTAATTTGTATTGAAATCTAATAAAATAAGCTAAAATTTGAAACAAAAATAGGTCAGAATTTACACTCAAATCATTTGCCTTGCCAACGTTTTGCATCAATGCTTATTTATTTGCATTGCAACCAAACACAACCTAAAGAAAACATTGCTATTGATATTCAACATCTTCTAATAGCCTTAACTAYACATATATAAAATTTTATATAGGTAGTTTTAATTAATTCGGTCAAAACTTCCAAAATTATGACATTAAGTATTTGACAAGCAAGATAACCCCATTATATCTCTGACCATAACACTCCATATATAACCTAGCAAAACTTTGTCAAAAGATACAGATCGATGATTATTGGAGTGTTTGGGTGACCTAGTGACCTGTATTCAATGGGGTGCTTTCCTTAGACAATTCAACCTTTTTAGAGGGCATTCTTTTTTTGGATTTTGAAAGGGGGGAAAGTTGGTCAATGTGATTTTGGTTCCCATTGATCAAGAATTTCATGTTCTTTTTTCAGATTTATGTGGGGACCAAGGAAAGTTTATTTTCCTAGGTAAGTAATATCCATCTCCTAAGTGGGTAAATAATTTTCCCACCTAGGGGGAAAGTTGCCAACACTTGAATAAGACAAAAATGTTCTTTTTAATAATAGAATTTTATGGCTAAAATGATCATTGCCTTATTTACATGAGAAATAAAAGAATACRGATAAATGTATTTACCCGGATAAATACATTTCTGTTAGAAAAGAGAGCTAATATCAGATATAAATTTTTTAGCTTCCCATACATGCACCATTAATTCTGACCAAGTTTCTCTCTTTACACTCAGATCTTCATCATTTGAAAACTTCATGTAAACACATCAAAATCAATTTGGGATTGAAGATTGGTTATGGGAGGAGGGATAAGAGAGGATGCATAGGAGTTTAGTAAAATTAATTGCAAAATGAAGAAAGCTATGTACACTTTTTGTTAATTATTTTCTCTTGAATTCGACAACAAGAAATACAGCTATTAGACTTTTAGTTAACCACCCATGGAAGATTTCCCCAAGCGCAAGACTGGCATCACCAAGGATTAACTTTAAATCACAAAAGGACAAAATTAGACCCCCTTAAGCCTTGCTTTTACATAAGTACTGTTTCTGTTTATATTTTGTCCTTTTGTGATTTGACTCTAATTCTACTGCAGTTGTAGTTTTCTCTTTATCCAGAAGAAAACTCTTCCAGAGTTGGCTTGTTCACGTAATTTTCCTATAATCCTATTCCCTACTTGAGGAATGAGATGTTGTGTGCACGCGAACTTTGCCATATAAAATAGTGAATGTAGAGCCTACCCCACCAGGAAAAATGCCACATTTCATAACTAGGCCCACCCAGTTAATAGATTCCAATCTAACGTTTCTAAAAGCGGTCAAAGGCTGATGGGGTTTAGTGCGCGCAGACCAGCTTTGTTGTGAAAGTCAGAAGCAGCAAATAAAAGGAAGGGCAGCACAGCACAGTTATAGAAAGCTTAACACGTGGCGCCATTGCTGTTGCTCCACGTGGTAAGACAATCCAAGTTTTATTAATGTGTCAATATGCCATACTTCAATTCGTACGTACCCGTAAAATTTAAATACGCAGCAGAGAACTGGACAAGAAAGGAATGCCCCTCCCTTTCAGACACTCTTCTCCGTGAAGGGAAGAGTTATCTGTTCTTTAATCTTTGAGAGATCTTCTTTCCTCTTCTTCTTTGGTGGTGCCGCTGCTGGTTCTCGTTCTCTGCAGCCATGGCCATTCGGGGACAGCTTCTGACAATGGCTATTGGCTTCGCCTTCACTGCAGCCTTTCTTCGCTCTGCGGTTTGCTTTAATCCTCCACCACAACATGACGCCCTCGACGTCCTTCCTCCGACCAACTATCTGGGTTCAATTTCGCCCCAACAGGTACTACAACCACTGCTGCTTCTGTTTCTGTTGCGTTAATTTGCTCAATTGTTATGTCAACTTTTGGGTTAAATCAACACAGTCAGCCTTCAGAACAGAAAGAACAGTTGTGTTAAATCCCCATTTTCTCTCTTCTTTCTGTTACTTAAAATTCATCATTTTGCCTTTGGTTGTGTTTGATTGCAGTGTAATTTTATTTGCATTGATACAAATGTACAGGACTGCAAATGAAAAGAATGCAAATTCTAACTGTGTTTGGTTGCAATGCAAATATATTTGTACTGATGCCAAACTATGGCAATTCGAGCGTAAAATCATGTCTTAATTTACAAATGAAGTAAATTAAGACATGAAATAAAACAAAGTGAAATCCAAAAACAAAATTAAACAAGAATTTGCATTTTTATATTTGCACTCCCATACATTTATACTAATGCAAATAAAATTGCACTGCAACAAAACACAGCCTAAATCATTTACACTACCATCAGTGTGAATAAATTTGTACTGCAGTCAAACACATACTTAGGGGGTGTTCTACAACGTAAATTGTTTTTCTTGTTATGCTGGTTTTAAGAAATAAATCAAAACCATTTTATTTGAAAACATATTGATTTCTTAAAACAAAAATATAATAAATATATTCTTGGTTGTGTATATGTTTTTTGCTTTCAAAACTGAAACCAAAGCATCATGTTCCATATATATTAAAAAATTTGTTTTTATTATGTATTGTTTTTTTTAAAATAAAACCAACTTATTTTTTTAATTCAAGAACATGAAAACAAAAACTGAACGCCCCTTAGTTATTTATATTTTCATTAGGCTGAATTTGGAAAGAGTACAAATGCAAAAAATCTTATATTTTGTATTATTTTGTATGCGTTTACACTATATATATTTGCATTTATACTCTTTCCTGTCCATTTTTTCATTCCATTAGTCGGGATTTTATCCGTTTGAATACGTGGACTTCGGATCAAATGATGGTTAACCGATTGATGGGCCCACCCAAAAAAATCCGGTACTTGGTTGGTGAACCCTATTAGCTGTTGACCACACTTTCCTCATAAATTGGGATTGGGCCCGGGGATTGGATTTTGGACGATCTAGTAGTAGGCCCCCAAAGAGGCAACTGATACCACCGTCCACCGTGATATATACCATCTTTCATAAATAAAAAAGCATATTATATTGCTGCAGGTCCATATATCTTTAGTGGGTAAGGACAAGATGAGAATAATGTGGATTACCCAACATGCAAGCCCAGCTACAGTAGAATATGATACATCTGCGGGGACTTACGGTTACTCTGCAACTGGAAGTACTTATTCGTACGAGTATTTGATGTATAAATCGGGAGAAATACACGATGTAGTAATTGGGCCCTTGGAGCCCAATACAGTCTACTACTACCGGTGTGGATCCAACTCATCTCGTGAATTCAGCTTCAAAACCCCTCCGGTTCAGCTTCCCATTACATTCGCTGTGGCAGGTAAATAACACGGAACCATGAAGAAATAGTAAAACTACATGGGCTGAAAGCATTCAAGAACTGGTGCAGCCCATGTTGTAACGATAGTCAGCCGGGCCCAGCACTTCAGGAAAATGCTGTCAATGGATCGGGTCTGATTCCAAACAGGATGGACCACTCCCCAACCAGTTAATTATTAATCGGTTCCCATAAGATAGACCCAGAACCGAACCAAAATTTAATTAAGATAATGAATTCTGATTTGGTTAGACCTAATTATACGTGATAATAACAATTTTAATAAAAATGAAGACAAAATAATAAACTGTTCATATGTTGATGAAACCAGTGTTTTTAATGAAAAGTACCATCTACGATATTTACCCTTTTAGACATAAATATAATAAAAATTATAGAAAACCCAGGATATTTCTATATATTATTATTAACTATATAATCGGTTTGGTTCTTATTCAGTTCCGGCGGAATAGCAAGAACCAATCCTAACCCAATTATTAATCGAGACACAAACCATGGAACCGGAACAACATAACCAGTAAGTAGTCTGGTCGGTTTGTAGACCTGACCCATTGGCAGAGCTCTATTCATGACTCTGACTCTAGGCATGTAGTGGATCAGTTGGGCTTGATCCAGCCCATTATCATTTTTGACTTCATTAGTTGCGCTACTTGAATCTTGATGTTTCATATGAAATTTAGGTGATCTAGGTCAGACCAGGTGGACAAAATCAACCCTTCAGCACATTTCTAGATCCGGCTACGATGTGATGCTCTTGCCCGGGGACCTATCTTATGCAGACTTCAACCAGCCACTCTGGGACTCATTTGGCCGCCTGGTCGAACCACTTTCCAGTCAACGGCCTTGGATGGTGACACAGGGCAACCATGAGATAGAGAAGATCCCTGTCATCCATGCACACCCCTTCACATCTTACAATGCCAGGTGGCATATGCCATTCGAGGAAAGTGGGTCCAACTACAACCTCTACTACTCCTTCGAAGTCGCAGGGGTCCACGTCATCATGTTGGGGTCTTATACAAGCTTTGAAGCAGGCTCCGATCAGTACAAATGGCTTGAAGCTGACTTGGCAAAAGTCAGCAGAGAGAGGACTCCATGGCTCCTTGTGCTTGTCCACGCGCCTTGGTATAATTCCAACACTGCTCATCAGGGGGATTATGAAGGAGAAGGGATGAGGAAAGCCATGGAGAAGCTGCTTTTCGATGCTCGCGTGGACATTGTTTTTGCTGGTCATGTCCATGCTTATGAACGCTTCGTAAGTTCATTTCCCTAGCTTTTTGTCTTCAACAATGAGGTTAAATACGGCTTGCTGGAATCTTAGGCTGTGTTTGGTTTGAAAGAAAAATGTAGGGAAAGATGCGACTGCATGAAAATAATGAGAATAACTAGAGGTACAAGTCGGGTTTCAGATTTAAAGAATTTAGGATTCATTTTGGCTTGCAGTTGGATCGGAATTGGAATTGGAATCAAAGTCTCTCAAAACCAGAATTGAAATGGTCGATTCCTATAATCTGCTTAATTCACATGGGAATCAGAATCAAATTAGAATAAAGTGAAATAGGATCTCATTCCCAAAAGAGGGAGGAAGAAATAGATATTCTCTCAAATGGAGTAATGTCATTTCACCAAGAAAGAGAGTGTAATTCCAATTCTGCACAACCAAATGATTGAGAATTGGAATGRACCATTTTGATTCCAATTCCAGACCATTATTCTCATGAACCAAATAGAATTTTACACTTTATTGGGTCTGAACCTTTGGGCCAGATCTATTAAAATTTTAACAAACTGACCAAGAATAACTTGGGAAATATATATTTTCTAGGGGAAAAACTTTGGCTGTTTGGGAGATTCTTATCCATTACGTGTTACCCCCGCTCAGTTCTTCGCTTGTCTTCTTGGCCAAAAGAATATTGGTTGCAAATATTCTTCTTTTATCGAACACACATGTCATGCCCAAGAAGCTATCGAGCAAACCAAATTGTTTTTTCCAAGCTCAAATCTGCTATCCGCACCCTACCCACAAGACACTACAGCCACACATCGGGATGCGACTGTAGTGTCTTGTTGATAATGTGGGTAGCACTCTGCCACTCTTATGGGTGACAAAACTAGACTCATTTTTTCCAAACAGTCAAAAAGTTTTTCCTTTTCTAATCCCCTTTTCTTTGTATTTAAGAAAACTTTAATAAGAAATTGATAAAAAAAATATTCTTAATTAAAAAGTGGTACTTTAACAAACACCATTGGTTGGTGTGATGGTAAAATTTCGGACTGACAAATATGAGAGCGTGGGTCCAAACCTACAAGAGGCCACTTTGTGCAAAGAAATGCAAAAATTTAGGTCCTTATCCAGTCCACCTCTAGCAAATTTCCAGATAGCTGGAACCAACAATGGAAAATGGCCCTTTTAAAGAGAAAATTCAAAAAATAAAAAAGAAAATCTTCAATCTTTTGCCTGTTAGCAAAAGCTAACCAAAATAAATAATCAAATTTCATATAGTGACTAAATAGATAATTTGCACTATTTTGTTATCTTACCATTGATCAATCCAATTTCCAGACTCGAATTTATGAAGGGCAAGCTAATGCTTGTGGTCCAGTGCATATCACCATTGGAGATGGTGGGAATCGTGAAGGCCTTTGCAGGAGGTAAGTTGTTTCAGCTACCAGCTCTGATGATCTTCTCTAGTAATTAACTAGTCTACTTAATACTGTTAAGTCTGCAAATTGAATCACATATTTTCTGAGCTTTAACTTGTAATTAATTATCGTTATACAACGTCAACCAAAAATATATGTGCAGGTATTTGGATCCCCAACCACAAATATCAGTTTTCAGGGAAGCAAGTTTTGGGCGTGGCCAATTTCAGGTGGTGAATGCAACTCATGCACTGTGGAGCTGGCATAGAAATGATGATGATGAAACAGTCAGAGCTGATATGGTCTGGTTGAGTAGCCTTGCATCCGATCCAGCTTGTAATAGAATGTAAATTTCAGGTTTGTTTTGTCTTCACATTTGTGATTTGTCCAATTCAATTTCTTGGTATCTGTAACTAAATTTCCAAAGTCATAGAAATATCGATACTCATGATATACAAAAGTTGTGTGACTCAAAGAGGCGATACTCGTGGATTGAAATTGTTTCAGCTTTAACCATCTCATCTCTGAGAAGAGAACTAACCTGTGAATATGGCTATTTGTCATAATTTCTCGTATTTAGGCCATATTTGGTTTGCAGGAATAGAGGTTTGGAATCGAAATCAGAATAGATTATTTCGATTCCAATTATTTGATTGGTCAAAATCTGAATCCCATTCTCATTCTTACTGAAATGGCATTCCCCCATTTGAGGGATTAGCCATGCCCGTTCCCTATCCTTCCCTTGGAATGAAATCTCATTTCGACTTATTCAAATTCTAATTCTAAAAGATTTTAATTCCAATTCCAATTTGAATTTCAATTCCAATTCTAACTGTGAACCAAATGAACCCTTAATCTACTGGGCAGTACATATCAATACTTTGAAACCTTATAAAAAACTAACAAATCCATTCACCTTATATCTACTCAGGGTCTCTTTCAATGTGAATTTAGTTATGGGAATGTGCCATGGCAAAACCACTGTTATGTTGATTATTCTAATGTAACATTCATTATTTATTTTAATGGGGTGCGGTGGTTTCATAAAATGGATCCGGATGTGCATAAGTAATGAGGTTAAACTTGGTTGTGTACAATTGTGAGAGCTGGGATCTGTTCTAATATGGAATTGGAATGGGCACCCCACATAGTGCGCTCCACATCCAAATGCACACCACATGGGAGATGATCCAAATGCACGGTGGATGTGCTTGTGGGGCACGTATAGGGCATGCTATGTGAGGAGCCCATTTCAAACTCTCCAATATAACATATGTTTGCACAGGAACGGAATCTGCTCCYCACATTTGGGCGTTTTATGTGCACATCTACTGTGCATTAAAAACATCTCCCATGAAAAATAACTTATAAGTACGGAAGATGTTCCCAATGCATGATAGGATGTGCATGTGAGGCGCAGCAGATCCGGTCTCATTTGCACATCTTATTATAATGTGGGTCCTAGCTAGTTTTATGATGGATCCCATCTCATAGTAAGATCTGCAATAGACATTATATTGAAACTCGTTGGAAAGGTATTTTGTTTTGAACAGATCCGACCCGAATTATGAACGTGGGATGGAAGACTCATTCCATGAAACCATGTGGCCAATCGTTGTGATTAAAATATAGCATTGGATATTATGATCTTTACATGAAAAGACAATAAGAATCTGTATTGAATTTTCTCAGGCTTCAAATTTATCTCTGGGATAGGTGCAAAATAATGCCCCAACACAAGCACTAGCATAGCTTAGCAGATAGCCAAAGTACCATAGGCTGAACTAAGGCCCAAGGTGACCCAAACCTTAAGCTTGTGGGATGAGAAGAACCTTCCTCAATTAGGAAAAATGTGAAGAGAGAACAATATTATGTTCATTTCTCAAGAGTGTTGCGACAATTCAATCTACATATAAAATGGATGTATCATATGTTTTAGCATTTTAAAAGGAATCACATTAAGTATGAATCTCCTGTCAGGCTGTCACCATGGTACATAGCCTTTGTCCCTCCAAACTTAATGCTTGATTTTAGGTGGGCCCATATAATTATAGATGGGTTGTTGGGTTTTGATTGGTTGTTATAGGCGATATTGATTGATGATGTGCGATTTAGTTGCTCTTAGTTTTTTCAGCAGTTCAAATGTTAGATTAATATGTAGTCGGTCGAAGTGTAAGAAAAACAATATCAAAGGTCCTAGGGTATTTTATCCAATGTGAGTACTTTGATGCTTAAGTTAGTGAAAAATGTTATAGCAAGCTGATTTGCTTATGAGTAAAAGAGCAAGAGAGCTAAATCGTATATACCTTATAATGCTGGAGGTGATGCCCTTATATAGGCGAGCTGTCGTAAGCCTCACAAAACATATCCAAGGTCTCCGGCCCGTGTAACCAGGAGCTCATTTCACACCCGAAGATRGACTTCGTATGAGCTGATAAGGCTTATCGAGTTTGTCCGATCCAAGTGGGATAAGGATAAGACTCGATGACGTACGGTGTGATCCCAAAGAGATTGGAGACGGCGGCTAGCTTCTAGAAGAGGGCTACGTGGCACCTCAGCAGGTTGAGACACCACAAGCTGCACGGACCTCGGTCTTAGCTGAGGTGTCCAAGCTGGCCTGGCTAGCTGAGGTGTTCGGAAATGCTGAGTTGTCATCTAATCATCAGGTCGCTCCACATGTCCGCGTACTAACGAGTTGGGCCAAATTACCCCTCATCAATTGCCCCTCACTCCCACGCCTAAGGTGCTCAACTTGGGGCAGGAGTTCACGACGAGTTTGGGCGAATTTGGCCCGATCTCTTGTTTGGCCAAGGTTCGACCTTCAGGCCAAATCTGATCGACCCAACTAGCTCAACCTTAGGGCAAGATTGTGTCTCAGGAACACATGGACGTTTACGCAAACTATAAACTCCACAGACATCGAAAACACACTCAACCAAGTTCGACCTCGAAATTCGAGCAATCGCCCTCCTGGGAACCATTGGATTTGATCAATCTAGGTCATCCGTGACCGGTTATACCAACTATAAATAGGCCCTTGAGGACCCATTTTTCTTCGTCCTATTTGAACTCTCGTGCAATTGGAGATTGTGAAACGTGCATTGTCGGTGTAGCCAGGTTGATCATCGAGGTTGATTGTCTCTTTCGATGAGTCATATTCCCTTGCTCGTTTCTTTCGTTCTTGTCGAGTAATAGTGAGTCTAGCGAAACCTTGATTATGGTCCTATTCATTTTCTGGTATTTAGCGGGGGGACAAGTTAGTCAGTCAGCAAATTGATCATGATCCTTGCATTAATTTGTCGTTATATTGGGTCTTATGGTAATTAATGATACCTAAGAATATCGATTATCCGGATAACTGATACCCTCTCTCAATGTGGATAAGCAATTTATCTGTACACTAATAACATTCTCTCCCTAAACACTTATCTAACTAAACATATTTATCCAATTAAATAAAAACAAACGGGCCTACAGCCTTACAGGAGATATATTAGACACGAGAAAAAAATAAAATAACACCCTCTCCCTCGCACCGGGTTTCTCTAAATGGGCCCAACCAGGTACTCTTGAAGGCAACTGGTCAAGTTGGTATTAAAAAATTAATTCGAAGTGTGAACGCAAGTTGGTTTCAGGATCAGAGCACTCAGTACCTACCAATCGGGTGGGCCACGTCCAAGAAATTTCTTAACCATGCAAACAACACCAACCCAATCAGATCAAATGGGCCACCTGCTTCATGGTCTTATCTTCTGTTTTTTCTTTCATATCTAACATGTTGGGGCCCATCCCTTGCTGGGCCCTTCCGAGTTCATACATCAAAATGACAGAACCCATGGCTATTGGAGGAATATGGAGCAATGGAACTTAAAATAAGCGCGCTTAATTAGGAATATTTATTTTCGAGGCTTAAATGGCAAATAATGAATTATTTAAGGTTAAAAAGAAAGTGACATCAAGGTTGTGTTTGGATGGAGTAAAATAAAGGAATATATATGCTATTTATTCGGAATATTAAAAAATTAAAGGCATGTCATTTTCTTACAATTATTTTTCACTTTCAATAATTGTTTATTTTCCACCCATGTTCTAAAACCCGGCATAGACGGAAAGCAGGTTTTTTCTCAGGATTGATAGGTCAGTGGTTCAACTATCATATCAAAAGATTAATCCATAACTTCACAACAACGAAAAAGTCTTAAGAGAAAATAGTGCAAAAATGATAACCTGTCAAACGGGCCAAACAGCAATTCAACCAAAAGGATAACGAGTTATTAATCAAGACAACATTCTTTTTTGTAATGTGACGGATCAGAATTCAGAAGTAACATTTAGGGTCCGTTTGGTTTATAATTGGAATTAGAATCAGAATTAGATTGACCCGTTCTCATTCCAGCAGTTTGTTTGAATAAAATAGGATTCAGATTCACACTTTCTTGGTGGAATGGAATTCCTCTATTTGAGGAAATGTCCATTTCAGCCTCCCCCTTGGGAATGAAAATCTCATTCCCACCAACCAGAAAAAGAAAAGGACAAGTGACTAAAAAACCACCCAAGTCTATTTCTGATTCCCTTCTGAACTAAAACAGGTGGGGGAATAGGTGATTCTGATTCTAACATAAGCCAAGCAGACCCTTATTATGCTTAGAATCTTCCATGTAGCATTTCATTGCAACCACTTAATAAAACACCATCAGATTGGCAACCCAACCAACAAACGGATGGATCTTTTGTATAAACAAATAGGAATTATACCTGTGTTTTATTGGAATTTATAAAATACTTTAGCACCTGTTTCATTATTAAAAAACAAAAGAATAAGAAAAAGAATTGTGGTCCAATAGCTATTGAGGAATATCCGATACCATGTAAATGTAAGGAAGATGTTTTGTGCCCTTCTTTTATTCAGGACTACTTTTTTCTGTTTGGTTGGTTTGGAAGGAGAATGTCCAATTGTTTGGTTGGACGGAATCAAAATCTGATTCTCATTTTTGGTGGAATTGTATTCTTCTACTTGAATGGATGATCATTCCCCCCTTTCCCCTGGGACTTCTCTTGGAAATGAAAATCCCATTTCCAACTGATTTCGATTTTCATCTGAACCAGATAGGAGGTGGAATAGACCATTTTAATTCCAATTCCAAGGAATTTCTGTTTCGATTCCAATTCTAATTGAAAACCAAACGGACCCATGTAAATGATGGGCTACGCAACCCAATCATGAATGAATACTTTATTGATCGGTACAATTTTAGACAAGCGAAGGGCGCCCGTGCTCAGCACGGGTGAGTAATACCGAGTAAGTGGGAGAATAAAAAAAGAACAATAAAAGCTATAGTTGTGGGATCCGAATCCGGGCCTATAATGTAATGAACCAATTAATCTATGGAAAATATATATTACATAACAAAGAGAAGAAATACAAATTTTATATGCATGACTTCAGAAACGATCTTACAAAGTTATTAAACATATAATTCCCAAAAGAAATACAAATTTTATATGTATCATAATGGAACCATCTTACAAACAAAACAAAGTCATCAAGCATGCTATTCATCTTGTGAACCAACAAGTTTTGTAGAATAATGTCTTCAACATATGAAACTATCTTGGAGGATCAAGATAGTTTCATATCTTGGAGGATCAACATATGAACTTGCTTCGAAGCAAAGTTCTTCATGACATTTTCCAGTTTTGGAGGATCAAGGGTAGGGCTAGAGGAAAGAGTAATGTGTGGTCGAGATTCGATCTCAATAAGCTGGGAACTGATCTGGCGACGAGCAAGGACGTTCCAACCCTTTGATTTTCCAGTGCAGGGTCGAAGTAGAGCTCAACTCCATAGCCTTGTGCCATTTTCTCGATTCAGAACTCAAAAAATTTGCAGCCCAGAAACGAAACTTACAGACCTGAATAAAAAATGACGCGTCAATTCAACAAAAGAAAAGCATACAACAAAGAGAGCCGCGTAGTTGAGATGAAACAGAGATAGAAGAACCCAACTGAATTTTTGAAAAAGAACGAAGGGCAGCATCCACCACAACAAGTGTAAACCAAAAGAGGAGAGAAAGGAAAGATAAAAAAAGGAAGTAACCCGATTCTTTGATTTAAGTGGGGTGGTCAGAGGACTCAGAAGTCAAAACACACAAGGGACAGATCGTCATAGGGAAAATTCGTAAGAGAGGACAGAAAGCGGGAGGGTGGGGGTAGAGCTCTCAAGAACCCAATCGAAGCCTGGCGTCGCCACCGCCTCCACCACCTGCAAAACACGAGAGAACAGATCAGAACTTAAAAGCATCTCATCATATACCGCATTCTCTCGTCTCATCTTAATTCTGCGTGCACTACATGTAAACAATGAGAAGGCAGAAAGCCCGACAAAACTATTACCACTGAACCACACCATATCTGGCTTTCTCTCACAGATGATCAATGGATGAAGGTAACTTCAAAATATTTGAAAGACCTAATTAAATTTGTACCTGCCCGTATCCTAGTATTGTAAAAATGTGCCTCTGTTCATGTTTACTTGTTTGTTGCTAAGATCTTTTATCATGCAGGTTGAGGTTGCAATTGAGAGATCTTATACTATCAGATTATGCCAAGAAGAATAATGTGAATACTTCAGCTCTTACCCAATCTGAGATTCGTGACATAATACTAGGAGCTGAGATTACTCCACCTTCACAACAGAGGCAACAGATAGCAGAGATTCTGAAGCAAGTAATATTTAGCTCCTATGCTTGAATAGAATTGTCTATGCTCGTCGCTTTGCTGATTTGTTGCTTCTAGAATTTCATTTGAGCTGCTGACTTTTGGGTCCTGATGTAGCGAAATACGACTGCTCCCTGTAGGAAATGATCGACGGGCTCGATGAACTATATCAGAGAACCCGGGGTAACTTACCCGGCAAGGTCACTCCGCTTATGAAAATGATATGTGAGAGAGTTGCATACCTTTGCCCCTGGGAGTGAGGTCTTTATATACTGGAGTCCTCGCAGGTTTGATGAAGTAATTCTTAGATCCCCGTTGTGATGGGATCCGTTTCTGTGTTAGTTAGGGATAATGTCACCAACCGGTAAGGTTGTCCATTTCCGCCTGAATCAGGGAGTGGGTGATATACTAGCCGTTACAAGGCATGATCCCGTAAGATGGTGAGATCCTTGGAATTACCATGCAACAGTTGGTGAGCATCACCTGAGCTCGTATTCTTTAGACCGACCTGTTGTGAATGTCGAAGTGCCTTAGTACCGAGGTGATCTTGCACTAAGGTAGGCTTGTCTCGAGGTGGTCCAGCTGTCGAGTTGCGATCTGGTACCGAAGTGATCTTAGTTCGAGATGATCTTACCTCGAAGTAACCTTAGTTTGGGGTAACGGGGTACCCGATGTCGCTTTGTAGCGAACTAGCCACACCGAGTTATCACTTTATGCCGAGTCACATCCACGTGTTACAAGATCGGGGCCAAATTACCCTTCATCTTTGCTAAGTTACCTAAGTGGTTCCGGGTGTCACCCCATTGTTCCGAGATGCCACGTGTCACAATACAATATTATTGAGAGGCCAAATCCGCCCTCATCAGGTCCAAAACTGATTGTCGTGTGAGAGCAATCTCAGCCACAAATCTTTATCTCCGAGTCAATCATATTTATGTGAATTCGGAGGACATCAAGGTATTTTATTTACTGGTTTTATTGTTCCTCCTTAGCTTGAACATGGAGAGCTTAAAGACCTAGAATGAAACTTTATGATAACAGGATACGCATACATCATGCCAAAAAATATCTTGAAGAAGTTTATCTGTATAGCAGATCTTCGTACTCAAATTGTAGGGTACCTATATGGTATAAGTCCGCAGGCAATCCTCAGGTTAAAGAAATCCGCTGTATTGCCATGCCACCACAGTGGGGGACTCATCAGCAGGTCCATCTGCTCTTCCTGAGCATGATTTCTTAAATGATCTGGAGCCATTGGGGTGGATGCATACACAACCAAATGAGCTTCCACAGTTGTCCCCTCAAGTATTTGTTTTTAACTAAGCATGCTTTCTTACCTGGCTGTGCAGACTGCAGGCTGTAGTGGTTCCAGTTCTGTATTATAAAATCAGGCATTGATTGAGTTTCCATTCTACTTTTACAGGATCTCACAACTCATGCTAGGATTCTAGAGAACAATAAACAGTGAGATGGAGAGAAGTGCATCATCCTCACTTGCAGTTTCATCCCAGGCTCTTGCTCATTAACTGCATACAAGCTTACACCAACAGGTTATGAATGGGGGCGAGTCAACAAAGATACTGGAAGCAATCCGCATGGCTATCTTCCAACTCACTATGAGAAGGTCCAAATGCTTCTTAGGGAGGGAGGGGGTAGAGCTCTCAAGAACCCAATCGAAGCCTGGCGTCGCCACCGCCTCCACCACCTGCAAAACACAAGAGAACAGATCAGAACTTATCGATGGCGGTGAATACTAAGGATTGGGCACTATCTGAATCTGATTTTTGCGCTCTCTCTCTCTCTAATTAAATATTCAGTCCAACCAGATATGACTGCAACCTACAATCAGATATGACTGCAACCTCCCATCCCTCTACTTTCAGAAGAAATTACAGGAAAGAGAACTCAAGAAAGAACAACTTGAATCCATTAAGACTCTTCTTCGTTTTAAAGAAACAGGAAAATGAAAAATATTAGAGGCATAACTTCATTTCCGGAACAAATACTCTTCGCCTGATTCCTAATCGACGTGCCTGATTCAAGACTGCACCCCGGGTGCTCAATTTAGCATGCTTCAGAACCCTAGCGAAGTCCTTCCGCCGGCGATCCACCACCAGCAAATCGATGCCAGGGAGTGCTTCCATCACTTCTTCCGCCTCTCCCACGATTACTTCCGGCGACATGCCTGCCTCACGCATGGCATCCAAGTATTCGGATCTTGACTGTTCATCTAGCACAAATCCTTCTCTATGCCACGCTTTGAGGATTAGCTGCGGGTTCCATCCACCGGTCATGGCCGACATGAGCTCGGCGACACTGGATTCTTGGAAGACTTCGCACTGCAAATCAAATCGAAAACCATGGGTTAAAACCGAAGAAGGGGATTCAGATGAGGGAGGAAAGATAAAGAGGGAAGCAAGGAAGCGGAAAGAGACGTAGAGATGAGAGGGAGAGCGGGAAGAGATGGGCAACAGGAATGTAAGATAGGGAAGATGGGAAAGCGGGAACATACACGCGTCATGCATGCAAAATGGAAGTGATCAGACATTTGTCCCTCGTGCATTCTTCACACGTACATGTGATTGATGTAAAGCTAACTACAGTAAGATTCCGTTTTATTTGCTTTAATATATATACTAGCGGAAAGGGCCCTGCTGATGATGGGCAAATGGGAAGGAATGGAAACAATTTTTTATAGAATAATTGGGAGATTAAAAATGAAGGAAAAAATTAATATAATTTTCAATTAAAAATCAAACTTCAGCAATTTACACTAATTATGTGTTACCTTATTTTTTGGAATAACTAATTCAATTTCAACTATGTGATGAACATTTTCAAGACTGCAGCAAAAGGTAGGTAAACCACAAAGTGGAGAGTGTTTCTAGTAAGAATGAGTAAGAATTAAAAAAAATGAGGCTTTGAGCTGCAATACAAAATTTCTCATATTTTCTTATCTACAAATTCTCTCTCTTCTCACTCTGTCTGCAATTGTCTCTAAGCCCATTTACCCTCTGCATCTTTTTAGGAATTTGTTGTTTTTACATACTAAGTACTAACAAATGGAGCCTAGTAACTGTTTAACCCGGTCCATTGCTAACCCGGGATGGAGAGGGGAGTTGGGGCATCCCCGAGCATTGACAAAAAATTCAGGCGGTCCTAGAGTGGGCTTTTACAGCAATCTCATACAAAATGTCCTTTCATTTTTATTGATATAAAAGTAAAGTCTAGTGTGGCTTGTGAGTAGGTTCAATCCCAACTCTAGGGGCGGAGCAAGGGGAACCAATAAGTTAATAATTAATTAAATAAATTAATAAATTAAATAAATAGAAATGTATAGATAATAATTTACTTAATTTTATTAAATAAATAAATAAATAAATATTCATTTGCTAATATGACATGACTGGTCTAAGTTATCTAGAACCAAACCCAACTCATTGACAATCTTAAATATTGGGTGTAGGTTGAATTAAATAAATAAAAAATTGGGGGTAATAAATTATTTAATTTATTAAAAAAAATAATTGAATAAGTTAATTTAGCATATTAAGTAAAAAAAATCATTAGGATATCCCAAATAGTAAATTTTTATTTTTATTTTTAGCTATTTTTTAGTTTCAAATTTTTTTAGTGAGTAATTGCAAATTAATTTTAGCTATTTTTTAAAAAATTAACTATAAAATGACTACCTTAGCTATTACTTGAGTAATTATCATCGTTCAAATTAACTTAACTTTTATGAAAATTCCTACAAGAAGGAAAATCACAATTGAAAAATCACCTCTCTATCTCACACAAAAAAACTGACTTTTAAGAAAAATCTTAGGGTTTCTTGTAGATAAGGGCAATTTTTTGCCCTGAATATCAATAAAAGATAATATTTTTATAAAATAACAAAAATAAGATAACTTTTTTTAAAAAATATCAACTAAGGGTAATAACACCGATCATCGTCTTCCTTTGCCCTTCCTTTGGTGATGGAGGCCGGAATTCCCTATGCAACTTTGGTGATTCATCTTCAGCTTTCAGTGACTACAAAGAAGTAAAGAACGGACTAAAAAAAATCAATCGGAAGTAAACACGTCATCGATTTGTACTGTTTTCATATTACAGCAACTAAGGTGTTTACTCGTAATTGGGTTTCAGATCCGGAATCCTGATGGTTCATGCATATCGGATTAACCAAAAAAACAAGTGTTCAAAGTGTATGACATTTGGATAACGATGCTCAGCAGTTAGCACTGAAGTTAAATTGACTCGGACAACTCGTTTTATTTGTTCATTAGTCACCCCAACGCGATCCACCACACAACCAACTTAATCCTGGAAAAGAGTGGGGCAAAACTCTTCAAAGTCGTAATACACGGAGAGATACTAAGTTCTTTCGTTGCCTTTGATCAATCATATCCAAATGTATTTTAGAAAAAAAAAAAAAAAAGGAGGAAAACGAATAAAGAAACCCTCAGTAGGTAATGATGAAACATTTAGATTTCAAGTCTTAAACCGCTAGGATCCTGAACAGATCAGACGGAATGCTCGTTAATGGCAAAGAAAATGAAAGAACGATGGAGAAATCAATCCTGCGTGATTAGGAAGTGATCTCCAGCTTCCGTGGTCGTTCTTCTTAATATACTCAACGATAATCTCATCACCAGATACAGAGGAAATTCCGGCCTCCATCATCAGAGGAAGGGCAGAGGAGGATGATGAACAGTATTATTGCCCTTCATTGATATTTTTCAAAAAAAAAGTTATCCTTATTTTTATTATTTTATAAAAAAAAATATTTTTTCTTAATATTCAGGGCAAAAAGTTGCTCTTATCTGCAAGAAAAATCATTTTCATCTTTTCTCCCTATTTCAATCTTTCAAAAGTTAATTGACGCCACACCTTTGAAATGTCAAAAAATACAGATAATAAAAAAAATTATTTATCTATTAAAAAAATGGCACGTGGCATGAAGTTGTAATTATGCAAATGCCCAAAATCATTTAACAAATCACTGGGATAATGTTTACACTTCAAACTTGTTTGCCAAATTGTTTAATTTACTGAACAGGTGGACCCCTGACACGTGGAACCCGATTAGGTTCCATGCGGTCGATATGTGGTAAGTAACAAGAACATGGGAATAAGCAGGGTCTCAGAGATTTGCAAATTTAGTAAGTACAAATTTAAAATTATCAAACGATATTCTAATACTTATTTAAAAGATACTTACTTGCCTATTACTATTATTATTCCCATCTAACCTATATTACCTAATCCACGAGTATTGGCATATTCATCACAAATCTTCCACAATTAAAATGCATTATTCACATAATACTTACAAGTAAAAAATAAATGAATAAAATAATCAATATAGGGGGATCACAAGGTACAAAAAGATTTTAGAAGTAAAAACAAATGTAAAAAACATTTTGTGAGTGGGAATTTGTTGACAAAAAGCATTAAAGTGAGAATTAATAATATGCTTCGATCATTGATGAAATCGACATGTTGATTTAACATATGCTAATCAGTAGCTACCCCTACACGCCCTACACTTGAGGAGGCTCATTTGGCATTGCAGGAGCCCGAGCATAGTTACATGTGCAAATTATAGCACCACCGGCACAGGCGACCACCACTACCTTCGTTGTCGGCAACCACTACCACTTTCATTATGCAAATTACAATAAATCAAGGACAGAAAATGAAACACCACCGACCCAGAAACCACCACCCCAAACGTCGCCGGTAGACCACCGCTCGCCATAAACCACCATAATTTTCACTGGCCGTCCTCACCACACGTTAAGGAAATAAAAAAGGGGATAAAACATAGCACAACCAACATAGGCAACCACCACCACCACCACCATCGTCGGCAACCACCAACTCCTTCCATGACCACCCCTTCACACCACAGAACGCCAAAGTTAAAAAAAAAAAAGGATAAAATGCAACCCCATCAATATAGAGAAAAAGGAAAAAATGCAACACCGCCAACCCAAAAACCACCACCTCCACCATTGTCAATTTCAAAATTCAATTGCTGATGTAAATGGAATCTATAAAAATAGCTACAAAACAAATGCAAATAAAATGGAATATACAGACGTAATCAGTTGAATCTATTACTTATGGTTTTACTCCCTCCTTCCTCAATGATGAAATTCTTAAATTCCAACAGTGTCCTTTTTGTTTTGTTTTGTTTTTTTCACCACTGTTTTAATTGTTCAATTCAACAGATATCTGGTTGATTTTTAATTAAGATAAAAATACAAATTACTATCTTAACACGTTCATCTCTTAGGATCTGTTTGCTTTATAGTTGGAATTAGAATTGAAATCATTCAGAATTGGACTCGGAATTAGAATGGATCTATTTCTCTTGCCTGTTTGGTTCAGATTAAAGTTAAAATTGATTGAAATGGATTCTCATTTCTAAGAAGGGGAATAAAATGGCCATTTCCTCAAATGGGAGAATCCCATTTCAGCAGGAATGAAAATTGGATTCTGATTCTACCTAACCAAACAGTGATTATAATGGACCATTTCGATTCTAATTCCCACGAAGCAAAGGGACCCCTAATTTAATTTGACTCCATGCAAATGTGTATCATTACATTAAATATACCACCACCTACTCTAATGATATATATCAAACATTTAAGTTTCAATAATATATTTTTTCCCTACCTTTGCCCTTAAGGCTCAGTTTGGAAATAGTATAAATACAAATATATACAATACAAATACATGCAAAATAATACAAAATATAAGGTTTTACACTCTATATATTTGCATTTGTACTCCTTCCAAACTGAGCCTAAATTCTTCTACTATGAAATTTGATGATATGAATACATACATCCAGACATACATGCATGAATGTGATGGACTATGCTGATATAAAATGCATGCACACATGCTAGAATGGATCGTTTTTTATACCAAAAAGAATTCTTCCACTAAGCTATATATTTTTTTCACCAAAAATTATATATACATAAATGTATATACTAAGGCTTGAACACAACTCACCACATGAAAGAGAAAAATTCATCCACTAAGCTATAATACTATAATTTAATGAAATAAATGAATGTGTATTAAGTTTTAATTTTCTAAGCCCATTTTATCAACATTTTCTTATTAATATTTTATTAACCAAAAAATTAAATAATTGATTGATCACTTAAATTAAAATTCTACCATTTCTCAAATTTTTATTGACATTTTTACGTTTCTCATACTCTGACCTTGACTAGCATCAACAAATGAGTTCCATTTTGGAAAAAAGGAAAGCTAAGGATATAATTGGAAATAAATAAAGAAAAAGGAAGCTGGAAGTAAAAAATTGGAAGTTTGAGACCCACGAAGGAAAAAGAAGAACTTAAGACTTAGGCCGTATTTCGTGTTTGTAAGTTTGTACAGTTGTACTACCATATAAAAATACTTTAAAAAGGTCCATCCAAACAAGGACTTAATCCATACATAATGTGTCGGCTCATTTTAGGGAGTCGTTTTGGTGGAATTATAAAAATCATTCAAATTGCAGTTGCAAGACAAACAACAAAGTCACAAATTTTGGAGATTCCAATCACTCCCCTGTAACATATTGCCCGAAAATCGAAAGATCCGGGTACGGTTCGGATCATACCATAAGATGTCGGACATCCCTGACCTCACTCTCCCAACGTACACGTGAAGGCATCCAAAGACTTTCTATTTTCAAATAATTTTCAAAAGATCCCACATAAATTAAGCGTTTCTCAAAGTGGGGTCTCGACTCTCGAGTCCGAGTGTCCGACTATCTTGCGCTCCCAGCTGCTCATCCAACGGTCCATAAATAGGTAAAAGCAGCATAAAAGCCTAGATTACAAACCACGTTAAATTTCTAAAGATGATCAAAAGCCTGTAACGGTTTTCACGTTTCTCTGGAACAACACAGCCACAGCTCTTGGGCGAAGCTAACAAACCTTACAGAACCAGCTCTCAGCTCCAGCTGCAGCTTCCAGTCCAGGCGCTTTTGCGGGTTTTTAGGGTTTAGGATCTGCTCACAATGACAGCTCCATTCTCTTCCGAGTAAGAAACGAGTTGAAATCGTCCTGAGAGAGATCTGATCATTCCTTTGTTCTCTTCCAATCCCGTTCCTTCAGCTTCCATATTTTCTACTCCATCCTAAGGCTTAAGCTCGATTATTATCCATTTTTTGTTCACTTTGTGAGGTCTACTTAATTCTCCAATTAGAATTCCCTGTATTCTATTTCTACGATTTCGTTTGAGTTATGGAGAAATGGCGAGGTTCCCGCTTCAAGATCTGTGGTTTGTTCTTCGAATCAGGGCTCGACGAAATTTATATACTATAATCGAAAGGGTTTTTGGTCATTTACGTGTTTGGAGTGGGGCGAAGGGCTTCCCTCTTCCATGAGAGCGTTTGTGAAAAATGGCGATGTCTCAGATTCCAGGCATCTGGTTAAGTTCTGTTGCTTTGTTGCACCAAACTTAGCGACTGTGTTGGAGCGGTCTCCGGATTTCCCCGCTTCGATGAAGAGGTCTCTTCGTCCACTGTTCAGTCTCCTTGTCCTTGCCGTGATTGTCACTATATTGAGCTGCAGGACCGCAGTTCGCCGGAGTTTCGGTGCTTTTCAGCTGGAAAATGGTGTGTCGATGAAACTAGCATTGCCGGTTTTTAACTCGACATTGCTTAAGAACGCGGCCATTGATATGGGAGAGGCGCATGTCAAGCAAGAGGTTGAGCAGCTGCTTGAAGGGAACTTTGGTAGCGCAGCAAGGGGCCGTTCAATCTCATCGTGGCAGCGTTCGCATCAATTCGACATTCGAAGCAGACCCTCTAGTAGCAGAATACCAGCCCAATTGCGCTCTCCCAGGTACTACAGGCTCTGGTCGGAATTCCGGAAAGTCCTCCGTGATTGGTTCAGGAATAAGCGGTATCAACCCGAGATCATGTCGGAGTTGATCAAACAGGTAAAAAGGCCAGTCGATAGGCACTATGGGCTTGCTGATTCCGACCGTCCCTATGCTTCTTGTGCAGTTGTCGGGAACAGTGGAATTTTGCTCAAGGCAGAGTATGGAGAGTTCATTGACAGCCACGAGTTTGTCATCCGACTGAACAATGCCAGGATCGAGGGGTTTCAACGCAATGTAGGGTCAAAAACCAGTATCTCATTCGTGAATAGTAATATCTTGCATCTCTGTGCCCGGAGAAATGGCTGCTTCTGCCACCCTTATGGCGAAAAGGTCCCAGTCATTATGTACATTTGCCAACCAGTGCATTTCTTGGATTACACTCTCTGCAATTCATCTCATAAAGCTCCATTGCTAGTTACAGATCTCCGGTTCGATGTCTTGTGTGCTCGTATTGTCAAGTACTATTCCATGAAAAGCTTCCTAGACGAGACAGGGAAATCCCCTGAAGAATGGGCACCTGCCCATGATGGTAGCTTGTTCCATTATTCTTCTGGTATGCAAGCTGTCATGCTAGCACTGGGAATTTGCGACAAAGTTAGTATGTTTGGTTTTGGAAAATCAGTTCAAGCAAAGCATCATTATCATACCAATCAGAAGGCAGAGCTTCATTTGCATGATTATGAAGCAGAGTATGCCTTTTACAATGATTTGATTGAGAGACCACGGGTAATACCGTTCCTTTCTGACAAATTCAAGGTTCCTCCTGTGGCCATATATTATTGAGCTGTTAATAGTTAACTTTTCAGGGTTCCGTGGAATCTGTTCACTAGTCATCAAGTTCTAGTTGTTTGTTGAAGCTGTAATAGTAGTTTCCTACGACCCAAAAGGAAATGAGAAGAAATTTGAAGTATTTTGTKGTCTGGAAACTTAATTTAAATGTTGTCATTAAGTGGCAAGAAATGCTGTAAAGGAAAGAATGCTACTCCCAAATTTAGACTGGGATAAGGATTTCTGTAAAAGAAAGACTTTAATTTACGAAGGATAAATCACATCTCATGTGTGCTACCAATTCTTGCTGGTTTTCTACTCTTAACAGTAATTGGGGCATCCTCAGGATTGATTTCCCCAAAAATCTTCAATTCAAAGTACTTATAATGTGTTCACATGATTTGAATTTCAAATTAGAGCCATGATTACTTACCAAACATACTAAGACATTGATTACCAAATATATTAATTTGTATACCTGTATTTCAATGTACAATGGGAATTCTAGTGTCAATTATACTAAATGTATATCTTAACGGTGTTCTAGTTCCTACAGAATTTTAATATCTTACATTAAAAAGGTGGAACCCTATCAGTTTATGTAGTGTACTGGGCATATTTCAATATGGATCACTAAAGTTGTTTTTTTGGGTCCTAAGGTGAAATATGGAACTTAACTTTTCTTGTTTAATCTTCAGCTTACGTTATCCATTAATAGGATGGATCCTCCACGGGAAAATTGATGTTAACATGTACAACTGGAAAATTACTCAAATATGTAAAGGGAAATTTCTTTTCCCCAGGGAGCATCCATCCTATTAATGGATCACAAGTTGAAGAGGAGTAATTTATCTTTGTTTCTTGACATAGTTGAGAGCTTATATTTGTTCTATTCTAAAGTTGAAAAAAATTGTGAGTTACTGCTTTTGCATCCTTGCATTTTATGGATAGAGAAGCTGTTCTATGGATTTTTCACCTTCCATCTGTCAAATAACTGAATTACCATACCTCTTGCATAGTTTTTGTACCTGTTTGTCATATCCATGGTCCATGGTTAAACTTGGTACACTTAATCCACGTTCTGAGCTGAATTCCTCTAAAAAATAGAAAAAAGAAAAATGAAAAGGTCTGTCCAAGCAGGTTTTATGCCATAGGTTCCATAATGATATGAGATCTGTCTCATCAACCAAAATTAGTTTCCCAAGTGTCATACTGTTTGTTACATTCTGTGTAAACTGGCTGTGAACATGTAGTTGAGCTTTTCCTCACAGGATATGAATATGTTACATCATTGTCATCATCCATGCCTTATGCCAACTATATGGGGTCRGCTACATGAATCCTGTTTCGCCAATCCGTTCTATTTAAAGCCATATCCACTGTTAAATTGTTAATGGTTAAATCATTTCTTACTACTATCCATGTCCTTATTTGAACAGTGATTGAATGATATATACTGTGAATCCATATTTAGAACCGTCAAAGATTGCATTTAACATTACTTGCATATGAAATTCTTTGGAGACACCATGACCTAAAGAACTTTTTTGTACATTGTCTATGTCAATAAACAAGTATAACTGCAGTGATGTATGTGTGTATTCAGGTGTAGTTAACCTTCAGATTGATGTGGATGGTGGATTCAAGGCCACTGACCAAATTGCATATGAAATTGCATGTACATATGTTCCCTACCTAAGTGTGCTCAGAAACATGGACTGGAGTGGGATGAGAAATGGTGGAACATCCAATCTGAAAAGCTCCAGGGTATAGAACCATGCTAGAGTGTACACACGTGTCTGGGTTAAGGAAATTAATGGAATTACTATACATTTATAGCTGTTTACTTATTTTAAATGATTTATTTAACTTATCAGTAATTTATTTTATTGGATAGCATATATCTTCCATAGGCATAAGAATATCTTATTAACAATATAAGAGAAAGTGTGAGTGGATTAGCAAAATTAAAGGGAGAGAGTGACAAGAGAGGGGGGATAACTTATGGGAATGATAAGGGGCTGTTTGTGAGAGATGTTTGAAATGTGAGAGTGGTCTTTAGAGGGTTCTCATGTGTGCCCACTCTAAAGCTGTTTAAAATATTGGACTGGCCCCAAGTGAGATAGTTTTGAGAACCAAGTCCCTATCATTGGAAGCAAATTGAAATATAATTTGTATTTTAGTTATGTTTTTACTTAAAGAATAAATGGGCTGATGATGACATATCTCTGCTTTCGACCAAGCTGCACGGGTTGAAATCTCCCAACTGTCAAAATATAGTTAGGTGTTGGAACAAGGGATATTAATGATGAAAGGGGATTATTGTTTCCTTGGACATTATTTTATAAGAAATAAAAGTACACACACTTTAGGCCGATTGGGGAATCTTCATCCTCAACATAGTTTCTCAATACTCCTTTTTCTTATTACTGGTAGAAAAAAAAAATTGTTATTATGGTTGATGAGGTCTAGGTTACCCTTTATGGGGAAGGTTTCTGGGCCCAGTACAGGAGCTCCTGTTGAGATTTTTCAATATTTCTAAATAAAATGATCTATACTCGGTGTTTGTAATCATTTGCTACCAGTTTGTTATGTTGAGTTCATATTCTTCCATTTTGAACTATTTTGGTTTTTCTCTTGCAGAGGGTTTTAACTTCATGAAGCTCTTCCAAGTTCTAGGAACACAAACCTTTAAAACCAGTAACCTAGTTCTGTATTGAAATTGTGAGCATTTAAATGAAGCTTCCTTTAACACCATTGTTATCTTAACCTTCCAAACTTGAACTGTGCTTTTCTTAAGATAGGCTTTTGAGAACCTCTGTCGCTTTGAGAAATATATACTATATTTTGATATGGAGTTGCTCAAGATCAAGTTTATTAATTACAATGAGTCTGAATACAAATGACTCTCAAACTTGATGTCATTGACCTCTTACATTTTTCATACCAAAGTTGGATCTGTTGTGCATTGAGGCGAATCACCAAAACCAAGGAGCTCGTACATGCGTGTAAGACTTACACACAAGAGCTGGACACTACCTTTAACCCAAAAGCTTAGCAATTAGGTTGTGTCATCTCTCATTTCTTTCCAATGTGGGACTCTACATTCCATACACTCACACGTGCATCCCAACAAGATCGATTTATAAAATAGGATTAACCACTTTGGCAGGGAAAAGGTAGTAATAGTGTAGATAATATACACTAGTGTCCTCTTTTAGTTATTGTTTCTTCATCTGCTTGTGTTTTGAATCTGATAGGCACAGAAATGAGAAACATAGCAACAATCCCAAATTCCAATCACCATACTTTGATTAATAGAGATAGATTGTAAGCAAGGCACTGAATATGACTAGAAGAAGAGTGGCACAGGTAGAGGTTGAGACGAAAACAAATGATAAAAAACACTATCCATTTATGTTTGTATCAGCTTTTTGTTGTCTGTGTGTTCTACTGATGCAATTKAACCGTTATGTTGTTGTTGCAGACATGATTTTTTTTTTCCCTTTTTGGGTGGGGAATGGGGCTGGAAAAAAGTTCAGTTTCCATGGGGTGTGATATTCCATCCAGACAGATAGGTGTCCAGGTCTTAAATAAATTGTGATTTAAGGGATAGAATAGAGCTAAGCTGTCCAGAAGTTGCAGATTAAAGACTCATAAGCTGCAATGTGGTAATCAAGCTTATGCTATTGGATGGGAGACTCGTTAGGAAGAATTTTGGTGTACTGTGTTGCCATGTATTGTACAGTTTGTTAAATGGATCATAAAGGCCGGAGTGAATGAATTCTACTTTTATGTAGGAGGATGTTAAACTCTAGAGTTATGGGGAAAGAGAAATATGAACGTATAAAATACAAAGTCATCTCAAAACCAGGAAATCAATTACATCCTTGCAAAGTAAAGCATATTATCCTTATATTTATGCGGTGGTCGAACACTAAAATAGAAGTCTATTCTGAAGTTCTCTATGAATGCCTGAATTATTGTCATATAATTAACAGCAAGATAATTCTCTAGAACTCAGGTTGCAGATTTGCAGGTCATGTGCTAGTGCATGGACAATTGTACAAGCACGGCAATATGTCTTCTAGGATCTTCTAATTCTGAACCACGCAAAATGCTCATGGCTTGGTTTGATTGCATCTGGTTTCTATTGAATTACCTTAAATTACATTGTTAATCCTCTAGTTGTTGAATTTTTAAATTGCAGTCATGTCTATACCAGTAATTACTCTTCATTTCAATTCCTCTCTCTCTTTCAGTAGGCAAGGTGCTGCTCTGATGGTCTTGAATCCATAACATCTCAGATCCCCATAGAGAACCATCTGCAAGACAGTGTTTGTTCCAGTGCTGGGAGTAGTTGTGGTAGTGGTGGCACCGAGCACTGAGTAGATTTGTTCTGACCCTAATGATCTGGATTCCCAACCTGACCAAATGCAGCCCCAACAGTTACAAGATCCGCATATGAAAAAAAAAGGCAGGGTGAAAAGTAAAAATTAGGCCTTGTTCGCTTTTCGGTAAGTTACCCATATTCTTTTATTTCTCATGTAAATAAGGCAATGGCCATTTTAACCATAAAAATCCATTATTAAAAAGGGCATTTTTGTCCCATTCAAGTAGTGACAACTTTCCCCCTAGGTGGAAAAGTTATTTACCCACCTAGGATACCCAGAAAAATAAACTTTCCCTGGCCCCCACATAAATCTGAAAAAAGAATATGGGATTCTTGGTCAATGGGAACCAAAATCCCATTGACCAACTTCCCCCCTCACAAAATCCGAAAAAAGAACACCCCAATTGATTTAGGGGTGATCATGGCTGGGTTTAACAGTTAGCACCTATATAGCTTGGGCCAGGGCCTGACTTGGCCTGGCCCAGACCCCAGGCCTAGCTTTGGCCTTGTGTCATTAAGTAACCAAAGCTATGGACTATGATACCGAAAAGACAAGAATTCTTAACCAAACAACAAGTATCATAAAATTGGCAACCAATCAGGTGGTATATATATCAAAATTCACATGAGGGTTTTGATTCGTCAAAGCGTATCAAGTCTTTTTCTGGCAGCATAGATCTCTTCAAATAACTATCAAGAAGATGTTATTAAAATATGAACCAATTATGTATTGGATCTCCAATTACCCTTCTTGGAGTTTTATCTTTTAGTTTGTAAATCTGCTAAATGTTTTTAACAAACTCATAATGTGATGTCGTTTGCTTTATCTGACCATAAGTATGGTTCCTCTTCCATTTTGCTGCTTAGCGCTCTAGTCCTTATTGATCTCCTTTGATTTGCAAATATGA